TATAATATGAGGGCGTCGGTAATAGGTAACCAGGTAACAAGACCATAAGTAAGTCATTTAATTTATGTGGGTCTCTGCTTCTTTATCTATAAAAAAGGAAATCCCCCAAATTTAGTGTAGATAATCTTCTGTGGTCATTTCTACTGGTAGAATTCTATGATCCACATACTGAATAAAGTAAATGTGGATAAATGGAATTCCTCAAAGCAAGGAATCATAAATTTATTTATAATTTAAAAATATTTATTGATCACTTTCTATATGCTAACTGTTCACACTAAGCACTCAGGGTATAGTCCTAAACAAGGTCAGCTCACAGCCCATATGAAGTTTACATTCTCATGGGGAAGGCAGATAAAAACCAAGTAAACAGAATAATTTCAAGGGTTAATAAGTGTGATGGATAATAATAAGGAGAGGAGTCTGTTTTTAGATTGAATCCTTAAAGGAAGATTTCTCTGAGGAGGCCACCTATGAGCCAAGAATCTGAAGGATGAGGGAGGTAGCCATGGGAAGTGTCAAAAGAGAGCCATCTAGGTAGAGAAGATAGCAATTGCAAAGATCTGAAGCATGAATGATATTGTTATGTTCTAGGAGCTGCAATAGCCAGAGTGCAGTGAACCAGTGGCACAAGATGAGATAGAAGCAGAAGCCAGATAATGTAGAACATTTTAGTTTGTAAGTAGATTTATTTAGTTCATTCTAAGTAGTACGAGAACGTGGAAGGATTTTAAACAGGAGTGATATGATCCAATTCATATTTTAAGAAAAGTGCTATTTGTAAACATGACCTGGGATAGGCAGAAGGCCAGTTAGATAACTGTGGCAATGGTCTGTATGGGAAATGACAATACAAATATGGACGAGGAAGATGGATTATAAAGAAAGGGCCCATAGCCACGTTTTAAAGATTATGGATAGGAGACAAAAGCAGGAAGAGCAAGAGAGAGTCTCTAGCAAGCTGTATAAAAAAGATGGTAAGAGATAATTATAGCCTATAGAAGTTCAGTAAAGAGGATGTTCAAGAGATCTATGGCTAATAATATCATATACTGCAGAGGAGGAGAAGGATTATGCAAAGATTATTAGCTTTAGTGATGATTTAAGTTGTTGGTGACTTTTAAGCATTTCTTTTCATTGGTAGGCAAAGAGAAAAGCCACAGTTCAAGGTGATGTGAATAAAATCAATAATGAGGAAATGGAGGTGATGTGCAAAGAGGTTTCTGAAGGTTTAGAAAGTTGTGTAGTTATCTGATAATTCATAGTGCGAACAGCTACCCATTTCTTTCTGTCACTGTGGCTATTCGGCTCTTGTTTGTGGCTTACGGCTTGTTTTGCTTTCAATTTTATTACTTGGTTTTGCTGTTGTATCTTAAAGGGGATTTCAAAACAGTTGAAATTTAGTATTTACCATGTCTAAATAGATGTTTCAAAATTATAAAATAACAAAATTAATGGCATTGGACACTGTATAAGGTTTGGTTATTCTTCAACAATAAGAAGGATTTTAAGAGTAGGGGAAAGTTTCCATACTTGATAAGTTGTTCTCTCTCCTCACTTTCCATAGAGCAAGATTTTCTTCATAAATAAAAGAAAATGCATTTAGTTCATAGACAAACTTGTCATTCCTTTATCTGCAGCCAAATGTGAAAAATTAAGAAATTCTAGAATCATAAAAATAGAAACTTAGTTGTTTTATTGAGTGGGATGCTTTTTCCTACTATTAGGCTTTAGATCGAGGAGTATAAATGGAAAAGCTGAAACTATTTCATGTGGCTTTCCTAAGACAGGCTGACATTCATGTGTTTTTCTTAAGACAATCAAAATGTTAAAACCAAAGAAATGATTAAATTAAGCTGAACATACATATTCTTATGCAGGATGATTTGAGAATAAAAAGGACAAGATTTTATTATGTCCTTGCCTTTTATTGCTGTTGCCCAATTTTTTAAAAAATAATATAAACTTCTGAAGCTTAATCTCTTTAATTTATACCTAAGTCTGTCTCTATAATCCCCACATCTATTGGCCTTTAACATAAATAAGTGTACAGAAAAAGGGGGAGAGAGAGAATTAAGCTGGTCAAATTAGCGCTAAAAATTTATCTTTAAAAAAATATACAGGAATGAATTCAACAAGGAAAGCACAAAACAGTGTGAAGAAAACCATACATTTTCTTAAATGACATTGGATAAGATCTCAAAAATAAAGGGCTATCTTATGTTCCTGGCTGAAAATGTTACTAAAATGTTGGTTTTTCCCATGTAAAGAATAACTTTTTAAAAATACCAGTTTGGGGGGCGTCTGGGTGGCTCAGTCAGTTAAGCATCTGATTCTTGATTTCGACTCAGGTCATGATCTCAGGGTTGTGAGATCAGCCCCATGTCAGGCTCCGTGCTGGGCCTGGAGCCTGCTTAAGAGTCTCTCTCCCCCTCTGCCCTTTCAGCCCCCCTCGTGTGTGCACGCTCTCTCTCTCCCAAAAAATCAATAATTAAGCAAAATAAAATAAAATACCAGTTTAAATCCAGTGGATTTGAGAGAGTTCTGGGAGGTGAGATGAGAGGAAGAACTAAAGCAAAATGATTTCAAAGTTTATATAGAATTTTTTTTCCTTCTGTTTAAAAGGTAGTATAGCGTAGTGTTTAAGAGAACAGACTCTGGATCAGACTACCTGGGTTCATTTCTTGACTTTACCACTAGCTGAGTACTTTGAAAGTTACTCAACCTCTCTGTGGCTCATTTTCCCTATCTATAAAGTGTGAAGATATTAGCTCCTATCTCTTGGAGTTGTTTTGAGGATAAAACAAGTTAATACATATAAATCACTTATAACAATACTTTACACATAAAAAATGCTTAATTGTTTGCTATTAGCATTATAGAAATTAGAAAATATTTAGAAAAAGGAATAGGTAAAGGAATCTTGTTCAACTAAATGTTCAATTAGTTTAAGTTATATATTAAAGTACATTATATATTTTAAAGCAGCTATCATCAAAACAGTATGGCATAAGAGGAATAGACATAGAGATTAGTGAAACTAAATAAAGAATTCTGTATATGAGAGCCTAAAATATTTTTAAAATGTTTAAATTGGGGCGCCTGGGTGGCTCAGTCATTAAGCGTCTGCCTTCGGCTCAGGTCATGATTCCAGCGTCCTGGGATCGAGTCCCACATCGGGCTCCCTGCTCAGTGGGAAGCCTGCTTCTCCCTTGCCCATTCCCCCTGCTTGTGTTCCTGCTCTCGCTATCTCTGTCTCTGTCAAATAAATAAATAAAATCTTAAAAAAAAAAAAAAGTGTAAATGTGATATTTAAATTCAGCAGGGAGAGCTGGTTTACTTAGCAGTGGTGGAGGCCTAATTGGCTGTTCATTTGGAAGAAATAAATAGGCCCATACTTCATATTTTCAGCAGAAATAAATTCCAGACAGATTAAAGATGTAAAACCTAGAGAGAGAGAAAAAAACGAATTAGAAAATATATTTCTGTAATCTCTAGGATAAGGAGATCTTTGAGAGCAATACAAGAAACCCAGAAGCCTTTTTGTATCTATAAGAGATGATGGATATTAGTTAACTTTGTGATAATCATTTCACAATATATATGTCAGATCATTATACTGTACAACTTAAACTTGTACAGTGTTATGTCAAATATATATCATTAAAACTAGAAAGAAAAAAAAAGCCAGAAGCCATGAAACAAATCAGTACAGATGTGACTTTGTAAAAATTAACAATTGCTATTAAAAAGAATTTCTGTCTGACAAAAAAATACCATGAAGAGTCTGACATCAAAAGGACAAACTGGGAGAAAATATCTGCCTCATTCAAAAAACAGAGTTAATACTTCTTGTATACAAGAGTTCAAGAAAGGTGAGTAACAGTAGAAAAAATGGGCAAAGAATAAACAGACAAATCTCAGAAAAAAATTCTAAGCCAATAAGAAAATACATTTCACTAATTAGTAGGAAGGAAGAAGCAAAATGACAGTGAAATACCATTTTTCAGTCAATGAATTGGGAAATATTGAAAGGATTTATGATATCTAGTGCTAGCCAGGGATATGAGGAACCAAACATCATCGTTGCAGTTGGAGGTTTGGATTGCAATAAATAGGCTTATATTTATCAGTGTCAAGATTTTAACCTTTGACCCATTACCCTCTTGGGAATTTATTCTACAGAAATAAAAGTATCAGTTACATAAATATATATGTGTTAATGATATTTATTACTGCATTGTTTTTAGTAACAAAAATTAGGAGACAATTTGAGTAAACAGTAGAGGTTTGACTAAATTGTGGAACACTCATTATGTAATAACTTGTAATTATTTAAGAAAATTATTATTAAAGAGGGCACATACTACATGGAGCACTAGGTGTTATGCACAAACAATGAATCATGGAACACTACATCAAAAACTAATGATGTAATGTATGGTGATTAACATACATAATAATAAAAAAATTATATTGTATATATAGTGACTTGAAAGATAATCAAAATCTATTGTTACTTTTTAAAAATATGTATAGCACTTTTTTTATTTTAAAAAAGATACCCTATTTTATGAGCTTTAAAATGATCTGGAAGGGAATACAGTAAAATTTTGGCATTGCTAATTCAGAAATATGGTCCAAGAAGAGACAAGGTATTAGAAGAAACCAGAGTGTATGCTCTTTTTACTTTATCTGTTGTTTGACTTATGGTAAGCACATACTGCTTCATAAAAAAAGAGAGAAAATACAGAGCTTAACTTCAGTCTTTAAAATAACTAGTAATAGAGTATGTTTGCAGCTTTTTATAATTGTGTTCTCTTTAATACATGATTATTGTAAAACTATCTACTCATACTAATGCGTTTTATTTCACTTTAGCAATGTCTGACCGTCAAGAGAGTGCTCTTATAGAGCTAATGGTTTGTACAATTCGTCAAGCTGCTGAGGCACATCCTCCAGTGGGAAGGGGTACTGGCAAGAGAGTAAGTCATATTAGTGAGAAATCTACAGAAAGACTTTTAATGTGTTTAAGTGTCTTAAATACTTGAAAATTTTAGTGGTATATTTATCCCACTAAAAACATGGTATTTTTGTAAATGATATATGCTGTGGTACTTTGTCTTTATATCCTATCTACTAATTACACTTAGGTTTCAAAAATAGATTCTTCCATGTTCCCAAAGCACCTGTACCTGCTTCTGGTTCTAGTACTTTAATCATTTTCACATTCATATCTGTTAAAAATGCAGAAAGGTCTGAAAGCAAATGCCTATTTTTACTCCATTTAGCAACTGTTTAATCTTTGGATAGTTGATTGTTTTCTTTGTGTGTTAATTCCCTTATTTGTAATATGGGGCTAATACAGGTTTTAGTGGTATTAAAGATGAATTGAGATAATCATTGATAGACCAGCTCTGGTGGTATGCAGAGGTAGGTAATTCTTCTCTACACCGAAAAAAAAAAAGAAAAGAAAAAGTATAAAACTGCAGAATTTGTCCAAAAACCTTATCAAAGGGTTCTGGGAATTCACCAAAGATAAAAGACAAATTGAGAAGCATTTATTTTTGAAAAACCACCAAAGCTTCAGGTAAAAGCAACAGGAGTCTGCTGCCTTTTTGCCTGGCATTATAATTTACACATATCCACCCACAAACTTGATGTAGTTTTACCAGAGTGGTACGTCTGTAAAAACCAGCAGCTTTGCTCTCAGAGGGGCAGACTCATGGTACAAATGCCAAAAGTCCAGAGCTTTGTGAGCCAGAAATGGCAAACATGGTAGAAACAAACAAGGAAAAACCCACAGCTGTGATATTCAGAGGTTGTGGTCCCAGATGGGAAGAACAGTTGACTGACCAAGAATCTAACTAAAAAATCCTGGAAATGAGAAAGCCATAAAAAGGATTAGATGAGCTCTCCTTACATCACTGGCTGACTGAGAAACCTGAGATAACCCAATGGAAAATAAAAGTCAAAAAGCAAACTTACTGGACTTTGTTTTTTCTTTTTCTTTTTTATGTTTCTATTTTTTATTTTAATTCTAGTATAGTTAACATACAGTGTTATATTAGTTTCATATGTACAGTATAGTGATTCAACAGTTCTGTACATTACTCAGTGCTCATCATGATAAGTGTACTCTTAGTCCCTTTACCTACTTTATCCATCCCCCACCCACCTCCCCTCTGGTAACCGTCAGTTTGTTCTCTGTAGTTAAGAGTCTGTTTCTTGGTTTGTGTGTGTGTGTCTCTTTTTTCTTTCCCTTTACCTGTCTGTTTCTTAAATTCCACATATGATTAAGATCATATGCTATTTGTTTTTCTCTTGACTTACTTCACTTAGCATTATACTCTTTAGCTCCATCCACATCATTACAAATGGCAAGATTCATTCCTTTCTATATATATATATCACATCTTCCTTATCCATTCATCTATTGATAGGACACTGGGCTGCTTCCATAATTTGACTATTTTAATAATGCTGCAATAAGCATAGAGGTGCATGTATCCCTTTGAATTAGTGTTTTTGTATTTTTTTGTATTTTACCCAGTAGTATAATTACTGGATTGTAGTATAGTTCTATTTTTAACTTTTTGAGGAAACATTGCCCTGTTTTCCACAGTGGCTCCACCAGGTTGCATTCCCACCAACATATGAGGGTTCCTTTTTCTTCACATCCTCACCAACACTTCTTGTTTCTTGAAGAAGTGGCTGAACTTTGAATATGCTTTCTAACCCAGGTCTCAGAGGGGCGAACCCTTATAGATTTGAAGTTTAAGTTAAAGATTACTTTTTTAAATATAAAAATTAGAAAAATAAGTTAAAAATCCATAATTACTGTGTTACCTAAAAATGTTGACTCTTCTAGAAAAATTACAGTCAAGCCAAGAAACAATAAAACATGAGCATACTTGGGGGGAAGCAGACAATAGAAATGGCTTCTCAGTAGGCCTAATTGTTGGATTTAGCAAATAACTTCAGAGCCCTTTTTATAAATATGTTGAAAGAATCAAAGGAAAATATGTTCAAAGAATTACAGGACAATATAATAACAGAAATAAGGGAAAAAATGGAGATTCTAGAGTTGAAAAGTAGCAAATTTGAGATGACAAGAAAGAAACATTGAACTTCATGAAGGTAGATTAATAAAAATTATTTATTCTGAAGAACAGAGAGGAAAGAAGATTGAAGAAAAATGAACAGAGCCCAAGAAATGTGTGAAACAACATTAAATGCATCAAATTTTTATAATGAGAGTTCCAGAAAGAAAGGAGTAAGAGAAAGAGACAGGAAAGAAAAACATTCGAAGAAATACTTGCCAAAAACTTGCCAAATTTGATGAAAAACCTTAATCCAAAGAATAAGCTTAACAAAACTCAAGTAGTATAAACGTAAAAGATTTATCTCCAGATAACGACAGTCACTGTCCAAAGCCAAAAACAAAAAATCTTGAAAGCAACAAGAGAAAAACAAGTCATACAGAGGGCAATTATAATAAGATTAGCCGTCAATTTTTTATTAGAGACAGTGGAGGCCAGAAGACTGACAGAGTGACATATATGCTGAAAGAAAACAAAGTTGCCAACCAAGAATTCTAAATCCAGTAAAACTATCTTTCAAATATGAAGGTACATTAAAAACATTCCCAGAAAAACAAAAATTGACAGGCATGTTGCTGGAAGACCTTAGAAGAACTACTAAAAGAAGTTCTTCGAGCTGTAAAGAATAATACCAAATGGTAATTCTAATCCATAGAAAGGAATGAATAGTATCAGAAATGGTAAATATGTGGGTGGATATAAAAGGCCATGTATATTATATATATTTTTTTCTTTTAATTTCTTTCAAGGGACATGAGATTATTTAAAGCAGTAATTATAGCGCTAAAGTACTAAGATTATAAGATACATAGATGTATATGACAGCAATAACAAAGAAGGGTAAAGGAAACGGAATTACATTGGAGCAAAATTGCTGTATTTTGCTGTAATTAAATATCAGCCTAAAATTGATTATTATAAATTAAAGAGTTTATTAGAATCCCCAAAGAAGGTAGTAAAGAAGGAACAAAGAAACAAAAAGACATGAGATTCATAGATCGCAGAATGGCTGACATAAATTCAGTCATATCAGAACTTAATATGAATATACAGAGGGGTGCCTGGATGGCTCAAGTCAGTTAAGCGTCCAGCTCTTGATTTTGGCTCAGGTCATGATATCAGGATCCTGGTATCAAGCTTCATGCTCAGCAGGGAATCTGCTTCAGGATTCTCTCTCCCCCTCTCCTTCTGCCCCTCTTCCCACTTGTGCGCTCCCTTTCTTTCTCTCTAAAATACGTATTTGTATATATACAGAAATCCAAAACATAGAAATTGGGAAAACTATGGACTGGGTATGAAAAGATACTAAGAAGTTATTGTTTCATTTTGTTGGAGATGCCAAGTTTTATTGTTTTTTAAGTCTTCACTGTTAAAAATACACACTTAAATATTTATGGGTGAAGTAAAATGATATACCAAGAATTTACCTTAAAATGTTACAGGAAAAAAAAACTAGGAATTAATGAAGCAGTAATGACAAATGAATAATTTTTAGATTTTCCAAAATAAAAGTTATAAAAATATGTGTTGTCCGAACTTTGAGATGAGAGCCTATTCAGACTAAGCATTTCTTATCCTTTTGACATATCTCAGTCATTTTTTGTGCACTTTCTTGCTTTCTCATCAAGTTCACTTTCTACCTTTACTGTTTATATTAACTATTGCTATGTAAAAAATTACTTTAAAACTTAGAAGCTTAATACAGTAAGCGTTCATTATCTCACAGTTTTTGTGGGTCAGAAACTTGGGAGTGTATTAGCTGGCTTTTTTTGGCTTAAGGTTCTCATAGGGTTGCATTTAAGATGTTAACCAGGGCTTTAGCCTCTGAAGGTTTGGTTGTTAATTTACTACTTCCTAATGGCTTACTTACATGACTGGTAAGTTAGTGTTGATTATTAGGGGAGGCTTTCGATCCTCACCTTATGGACCTCTCAGTAGGACTGTTTGAATGTTTTCATGACATGGTTGCTGCCCCTTCCTCCCCACCCCCAGAGTGAAGTATCCAAGAGAGAATAAAGCAGAATGAATGATCCAAAGGAGAGTAAGGTGGACTTCTGTGTCTTTCATGAGCTAGTTCTAAAAAGTCACATAACATCATTTCCACAGTCTCCTATTGGTTAACACATGTCAACCTTAGTCATTGTGGGAAGAGACTATAAGAGCATGATACCAAGAGGCAGAGGTTACTGGAAGGCACTTTGAAGGCTGATTCTTACATTACTCTAGCACAGGAATCTCTAACAAGCCATGGTGCCTTTTAATAGAGTAGTATTTAAAGTTAAAATCTTGTCACGAAGAGTATTGTCATTTGGTATTTTTTCTGATAGACACTTTGAGTATACAGAGCTAAGAAATACATGTATATATTTCTCTGTATATATCCATATATATTTATTTACATATTCATATTGATATTGATGACTTAAATTTAGCATAACAAGGTTTTTGCCTCTTTGGTTTTGTATTTTTTTCCTTTTTTTTTTTTTCTTTAGATTTTATTTATTTGTCAGAGAGCAAGAGAGCACAAGCAGGGGGAGTGGCAGGCAGAGGGAGATGCAGGCTCCCCACTGAGCAAGGAGCCTGATGTGGGACTTGATGCTAGGACCCTGGGATCATGACCTGAACGGAAGGCAGCCGCTTAACCAACTGAGCCTCCCAGGCGTCCCTTTTTTTCTCATTTTTATTTTTTGGAAATAGATAAAACATTTACATAGTTAAAAGGTCAAAACCATGTAAAAATATACATTCAGAAAAGTCTTTCATATATTTATATCTCCTTTTACACCCCGTTCCTACTATATAGTCAGAATATCCTTCCAGTGTTTCATTTTACAAATATAGATAAATGCATGCACTCCATCCTCCCTCTCCCTCAAAAGATAGCATATTTTGTAGTGTTCTGTACCTTACATTTTTATTTAACAGTGTATCCTAGATATCACTCTACCTTTATTTGAAGATCTTCATTTTCTTATGGCTACATAGTATCCATTATCTGGATACACGATTGAGGGTCTTTTGGGTTGTTGCCAGTCTTTTACTATTAGAAATAATGTACTATTAGAAATAATTCACTACGCAGTGAATAATTTTGTATCATTTCATACTTGTACCACATGTATTAGTGGGGTAGATTGCTTAAAAGTAGGATTATTATGTCAGAAGGAAAATGTGTATACAATTTTGTTAGATACTGGCAAATTCCTCCTTCATAGGTAGTATGCCATTTTTGCCATCCCATCAGAGGTTTTGGGGATTGAGTCCATGCATATAGACTGCCTAACATAATGATCACTTAATCAAAGACAGCTATTTATCTAAAATCAGTATCTTTAGACCTCTCATACATTGCCAAATGAATTTCAAGACTTCTCAATACCCTGAATACATTCCTGGACTTACATTCCACATAATATGTGGTCCCTTATATTACTTTGTGAAGAACTAAACACAATACAGTAAATCATTCCATATGATTATTTTGTATTTTAAGAAGTTGAAAAGTTCTGGAAGAGGAATTAGATGGGAGACCTTACTACTTCTTTCACATACTCTCAAACATCTGTGAGAATGAAGACCATTCTCAGCACTCAGACTATTGACATTCCAGAAAATGTCGACATCACTCTGAAAGGATGCACTGTTACTGTGAAGGGCCCCAGAGGAACCCTGGGAAGAGACTTCAGTTACAGCAGTGTAGAACTCAGTCTCCTGGGGCTCCTGGGTGGCTCAGTCGTTAATCGTCTGCCTTCGGTTCAGGTCATGATCCCAGGGTCCTGGGATCGAGCCCTGCATCGGGCTCCCTGCTCCGCAGGAAGCCTGTTTCTGCCTCTCCCTCTCCCCCTGCTTGTGATCCTGCTCTCACTGTGTCTCTCTCTGTCAAATAAATAAATAAAATCTTAAAAACAAAACAAAAAGACCTCAGTCTCCTTGAAAAGAAAAAGAAGAGGCGCCAACTTGAGAGAAATAGGAAAGAAATGACTATTGTTTGCACTGTCTGTAGTCACATACAGAACATGATCAAGGGCATTAGACTGGGCTTCCGTTACAAGATGAGGTCTGTGTATGCTCCCTTCCTCATCAGCGTTGTTATTCAGGACAGTGGTTCTCTTATTGAAATCCAAGATTTCTTAGGTGAAAAATACATCCACGGGGATCGGGTGAGGCCAGGTGTTGCGTGTTCAGTATCTCAAGCCCAGAAAGATGAGCTAATTCTTGAAGGAAATGACAATGAACTTGTATTGAATTCAGCTACTTTTTGATTCAGCAAACCACGACAGTTAAAAACGACTATCAGAAGATTTGGGGTGGTGTGTTTCTGAAAAAGAAACAGTTCAACGAGCTGATGAATAAGATCTACGTTGTCCAGCTACAGAAACAGCAAGATGCCAGACGATTTTTTAGAGTTATTTGTGATATTTTAAAGATGCAATAAAAGCTGTATTGATTTAAAAAAAAAGGGTTGACATTTATAAAGTGGTAATTTATATTGGAATGAAACAGTCAACCATTCAACATTATGGTGCTAAATTCCTTCAAGATAATAACAAAATACAAAATACCTTGGGGAAATGATTATCTTAACTTGCATTTTAATGTTTTATTTTTGGAACCACTTATGGTTTAACTAGTTGAATGCGGGACAAGGTGATGGGCATTATCAGCTTCAATTGGTTCAGTGATGACAGGCTACACCTCTATGTCTGGATTATTGCCTAACAGACTTATGAACTTAGAAGGACAACTAAATATAAATGAGTCCAGAGACATTGTTAGTATATGCTTTAAAAAATAAATGAAAATTTGGGGTGCCTGAGTGGCTCAGATAGTTAAACGTCTGCCTCTGGCTCAGGTCGTGATCCCAGGGTCCTGGGATCAAGCCCCACGTTGGGCTCCCTGCTCATCGGGGAGCCTGCTTCTCCCTCTCCCTCTACTGCTCCCCCTTCTTGTGTGCTTTCTCTCTCTCTCTCAAATAAATAAATAAAATCTTTTTAAAAAATCAGTGAAAATTTATTTAACTGCCGACAGTAAAAAAAAATTACTTTCTGAAGTATTTTTAGAAAAGTGTGTTTAACATAGGGGAGATTACTGTTAACATATTGAGGTTAAAACTGGAAAAATTATTTCACTTGCAATATTTTTATATTCATAACTGGTTTTATAGAAATGTTTTTGTTTACTAAACAAGTAGTAATTTATCTAAACTTTAGTGATTCGTAAGTAGCTATTTAATAAAGTAATATTGCATGTTAACTAGAAATAAGCATAAAACTAGAGATATTTGTTTTAGTAATTAGTTTGTTAACCTCCTCTGAAAATTCTCGAGTACATTATCTCCAATACTTCATCATTCTGTGTAACATTCTAGATTTATAAATTGTGACATTATATTATTTGCCCATTTCAACTTATTTCTAGGTGCTAACTGCCAAAGAAAGAAAAACTCAAATTGATGATAGAAACAAATTGACTGAGCATTTTATTATCACACTTCCTATGTTGCTATCAAAGGTATAATTTCATTTACATTTCTGTGATAATATGCCACTGAGTTTGCTTATAACATTGAATTATTAAAGTAGTTACTTCTTTTTTCTTTGCTTCTCCTTCTTCTAGTATTCTGCAGATGCAGAGAAGGTAGCAAACTTGCTACAAATCCCACAGTATTTTGATCTAGAAATTTATAGCACAGGTAGAATGGAAAAGGTAAGACACTATGAAATCAAAATTCTGTTGTAGTCTGTTTAAATAACTGGATTATTTCATTTTCATGTAATCTGTAGGCTTACTATTTGACAGATGCTTATTTTTATTAATCTAATAGTTTTTCTTTTTTTCCTCCTCAGCATCTGGATGCTTTGTTAAAACAGATTAAGTTTGTTGTGGAGAAACATGTAGAATCAGATGTTCTAGAAGCCTGCAGTAAAACCTATAGCATCTTATGCAGTGAAGAGTATACCATCCAAAACAGAGTTGACATAGCTCGAAGTCAGCTGATTGATGAGTTTGTAGATCGATTCAATCATTCTGTGGAAGATCTACTGCAAGAGGTCTGTTTTAAAGTAAACACTTGTATGTGATAATTTTGGCTAATATTCAAAGTTGAATGTACAAATCATTTCCATTTTAAAATAAAATCTAGTGGAATTCTCTTTTTCAGATCTTAGCAGCATTATTACAAGTGTTCATCCTGTAATTAACTTTGGTTATACTTTATTTTAAAAACCTATTTTGGAGTGCCTGGGTGACTCAGTTAAGCATCTGAATCTTGATTTCAGCTGAGGTCATGATCTCAGAATTGTGAGATCCAGCCCCACATCTGGCTCCACACTGGGCATGGAGCCTGCTTAAGATTCTCTTCCTCACTCTTCCCCATCCCCCACCTAAAAAAAAAACAAAACAACTTCTTTCACAAAAGCTAATATTTTTTTTGTTTAAGAAAAATCTTTTAAGGGGCGCCTGGGTGGCTCAGTTGGTTAAGCGACTGCCTTCGGCTCAGGTCATGATCCTGGAGTCCCGGGATCGAGTCCCGCTCGGGCTCCCTGCTTGGCAGGGAGTCTGCTTCTCTCTCTGACCCTCCTCCCTCTCATGCTCTCTGTCTCTCATTCTCTCTCTCTCAAATAAATAAATAAAATCTTTAAAAAAAAAAAAAAGAAAAACCTTTTAAGGTCTGGCTTTTCTTAATTCATTTTTTCGCTTTCTTTTCCTGGGGCCTAATTTACAAAATATTTTAATATTACTGAACTATTTATGATGTGCTAATGAATAGAACATAAAAATTAAGTGTGCTTGTAAGGGACAGCCACTTGCCAGTGGTATGCCCAGGATAACAGCAAACATCTCCATCTGGTTATTTTTATAGTTATTTTTATGATTCCCGCCTCTTGCCTTCTCCCTCCAATCAGTGTTACCAATTTGGAACCCCCACGGTTTTCTGTGCTCTGATGGCCAGGCTGATAGGATTTTCTTTTTAGTCCATGTAACCAATTTTTTCCTACTTCTAACTTTTAGTTTTAACTTTTAATTTTTTTCAACCATTTTTGATTTTTCATTGTGATTTTGAGCTACAAAAGTAACAATAAAATCTTTGAAATAACCATTAAAATCTTTAAAGTACATACCTTTTCACTCAGTTTCAGTGAACTTATCCTAAAGTATTAATCAGAAAAGTATACGATGTTAATGTTTACAACATTGTTTAAAATGCAAAAATGGTTCTCTCAGTGTAACAGTTATGGGTGTTTTTTATTTTTTGGTTTTTTGCTTATTTGTACTTTCTTATTTACCAGCAGTGAATATGTACTCTTTATATAATAAAAATGAATGCTTTTAGGCAGTAAGTATTAATAGACTTTCGTGTGAATATCAGGATAAGTAAAGTTATGGTAATGAAATAATGTCTTTTATTTATAGGGAGAAGAAGCTGATGATGATGATATTTACAATGTTCTTTCCACATTAAAGCGGTTAACCTCTTTTCATAAGTATGTCATTTTATTTAGATTTGGTTAATAACATTATATTAGCCAACATAAAATAGGCTGTTTTTGTAATATTTAACATCCTTGTAACAATGGGAAATTTTAAACAAATATCAAGATGTGATTTTTTTCTTTATTAATCAGATTTTCTTCAAATAAATTACGGTTTTTTATTATCATCTGATTTCTTAAGGAGTTAGATTTATCATTCAGTGTAACAAATATACTGTACACCGTACAAGTTTGTTAATCAGTATCATTGCTGGGCTTACTCTGTAAGCTGGAGTTTAGGGGTATAATTTTTATTTGACAGTTTTTAGAAATCTTAACTAAATAAAAAAGATTTTGGGGGATGCCATGAAAGTTATTTCTATGAGCTTTTTTTCCTGAATTGTTCTTGTTTGTCTATTTATTATTGTGCTCTTACTGTGTAGACAAAATAGCTGGACTTGAATAAGGAAAAAAGGCTCAGATTAATGAAATAAGTGTTACTTTTAAATTGTAATTTATATGTCCCTTGTTAATGGGTATGTTTATCTTCTCCATAAAGAAAGGAAAATAGAGATCTTTGTTGTTAAAAGAATGTTTAAGTGTAGCCCTTACATTAATGAATACTTCAGAATTCAAAAACTGTCTAAAATCGAAGACATTTCTTTATACACAAGGACACTGTTTGGAATTCTGTGGAGAAATAAACTCTTAGTTTTGAAAATATTTTGACATTTGGAAATAAAAGTTGACAGCTAGTGTCAAAACTCCTTATTTTAAAAAATATTTTGATGTTTCAAAATCAAAGTTAATGGGCATTGATCTACTATTTTAGTAGTAGAATTCATGAGAAAATAAAATGTCTGCCTATTGCAATTAAGAAGCCTGTAGCTACACTAAAGTTTTTGAGCTTTGACATATTTCTTTTCCCCTGGTTTTGTCTTTCTTGTGAATGCAGATCTCTTTCAAAAATACACATGTATTTATATTTTGAAATTGTGAATGGATTTTTTTTAATGTATTTTAAAAATACTAGGAAGAATGAAATGGAATACAGGCTTAGGTTGACTGTGTAGTAGTAATCTTCATTTAAAGGGATGAATTTTTATTGTTAATTGGTTTCTTTTAATTAATTTCTAATATCAGCTTATGTATTCTCTGTCTCCGCGCCCCGTCTCACTTTCCCGTTCTCTTTCCCTTTTCCCCTTTTTCTTTCTTACTTTTTATTTCCCTCCTTCCTTCCTTCCTTCCTTCCATCCTCTCTCCTTGTTTTTCTTTCTTTCTAAGTTTGAGTACTTGAACATTTACCAATCTTTTTCGATTCTGCAAGAAATTGAAGTTATTTTATACTTCTACCCACTGAAACTGAGCTCAAATTTAAATTTTCTTCTACTCTAGAATAAAGTTAATGCATTTTTGTTTATTTTAGTGCTCATGATCTCACAAAATGGGATCTATTTGGTAATTGCTACAGATTATTGAAGACTGGAATTGAACATGGAGCAATGCCAGAACAGGTAGGAGTTTATTGATATTCCTTCTTTGTCATTTTAGAAAGCTAAGCTTCTCGGAAATCACACAGGATTATCAAAAACCTTACATAGAAAGTAGTTGATAATTCTTAAATGCAGCTGCTTCCTTTGATAATTATTGCCATAGTGATTAAATATTATTAATAGATGTTAGTGATTGAATGTTACCAATAGGTGTATAATATCTTCAGGTTTGAGCCGGAAAAAAGTAGAGAATCTTTGCTATATTGTATTTCAAACATTTAATACTAAAGTAAACATTATTACTCTTTTAGGAAAAATACCATTAATTACTATAGTAGCAGTTTCAGAACTTGATTAATTCGGTTTGATGTAAATTCCTAATTATGGCTGTATTCCAGGCACTGTTCTAGATATTGATAATAGTAAGCCTTAGGTATGGCTTACTTTCTGTAGTGGAACCATAATTAAATAAGCTTGAGACCTTTAGCAGATTTTAGACCTTTTTGCATTCATGTATAAGTTGGAATGGAAAGAGCAGGATTTCACCAAATTTCTCTAGTCTGGAAGAGATTTAAAATAGTTGATTTAATTCTATGTAAGAATTAAGTTGTTAATTAATTGTTACTTAACAATTATAATTATTACAGTTATTAATGGTTACATTTATTAGTTAATTTTAATTGACACATACAATTATGCTACTTAGCAGTAACAATCTTTTGTAAGAATTAAAGTTATTTTGTATACTCCATATACTCATTCATTAGACCAAGATACCAACCCATAGTTAGGTATAGGTGGTGTTTAGAGGTGGTCTCATCTAATCCCATTTGGTAATATGGACACTTCATTATACTAAATGACACTTTATTATACTAAAGCAGTAAGAATTTCAACAGATATAACAATTGTGATATATTAAAAGTTAATCACAGAAGCAGTGCTTTATCATTGCTATTATTCTTTTAAGTTGTTTTAATTCATGGTTTTGATCCCTACTAAATGTAACAGCCACTCTTAAGAACAAATGTCCTTGATTATAAGTGTTTATTATAGTTTGTGGAAAGAAGCTAAATATTTAACTTTGTTGTTTTACTTCATTTTTTGCTGACTCTTCAACTTCCATCCTCTGTTCATCTCAAACTTTTCAGTAGCCTAAACACTATTCACTAATAGTCCCAAGCTGTTCTTCAAAGTTTAAAGGGAATGATAAAGATATTTCTTGTTTTGGTTTCCTCATTTTCCTCAAGAAAATAATGAGGATTGCACATCTCTGTTTCATCTGGGGATTATAACTATGTCAAAATTTCATTTTTAATTCACTACACCATCATTTATTGTCATAGAACTTGTGACTTTGGTTATCTTGGTTTTCTGTTACTTATTTTCACTGCATATGTATTATTTCCCCCGTTTTATTTTAGTTTCTTAGAGTAAGAGAACAG